AAATAAACTTCTCTTGTTAAAACCATCCGTTTGTGGTATTTCTGTTATAGCAGCACTAGATGACTAAGACAGATACCATCTCTCCTATCTCCCTGGATTTATACTACTTCCAGTATTGGTGCAGCTTCTGCCACCTACACATATCCTCATTAAAGGGGCCAGGCCTCTTTCCACAGGGAATGCTCTCATTAAGAGGAGCAGTTGATGCCCCACAGAACTGTGGCCTTTCTCAGGGCTGGAGCAGGTAGGGGCGTGGTGAGTCAGGCCACTGAGTTTGGCTGGCAGCCCAGCCCTAGTAATGACAGCTCAGGCCTGGAGTTGGTCCTTTGAAGATGTGTCCTGAAGCTCTTCCCTGGAGATCAATGACAGGAACCCAGAGTCCTGCTTTAGCCAAATGATAAGCTTGGCCACTTTTATGAGGAAAGGGACTCCTTATAGGATACCAAATTACAAATTAATTAGCAGCGTCCTCTGAGGCTAAGTGTAAATATCGATACCACCCCACGACAACTTTCTAGTGTGGGCCCCTCACTGCAAGGGTATAAAAAGGCCCAGGCAGGATGAGGTCTGTAGACATTGGTGATCCAGGTAGCCTCAGCTGAGGAGAAGCAGGCCTTCTAACATGACATCCAATTATTGTGTCACCAATAGCTCACCCACCTCCATCAAGAGCTGCCCCCGGCCCTCTTCTATCTCCTCCAACAGTGTGAGCTGCCAGCCTGAGCTGTACCTGGGTAATGTCTGCATGCCTTCCACCTGCATGCCAACCACCCACTGGCCCTCCAACTGCCTCTCCAAGACCTATCTGCCCAGCAACTGCCGGCCCAGCAGCTGCTGGCCAACCGGTGGCATCTCCAGCTCCATGGGTACCTGTGGCTGGTATTGTGAAGGGTCCTTCAACGGCAATGAGAAGGAGACCATGCAGATCCTGAATGACCGCCTGGCCAACTACCTGGAGAAGGTGCGGCAGCTAGAGCAGGAGAATGCCAACCTGGAGAGCAAGATCCAAGAGGCCTGCCAGTCTCAGGTGCCCACCTGGTGTCCAGACTACCAGTCCTACTTCCAAACCATCGAGGAGCTCCAGGAGAAGGTAAAGGAAAACAGGAGAACAGATTCACTGGGAAGACATCAGGAATAGCCAGCATTCCCAATTTTAATCTCAGTTTATTAAACTATGTTCAGGGAAAACAGACCTCCCTAGGGAATAGGATTAATCTCATAATTTAGGGGATCAGCCAGTGCCTGTGACATGGAAAGAAGCCGGAGTTCTAGCCTCAGTTCCACCACTGATACATTGAGTGGCTTTGGGACGTCCCTTCCCTTCTCTAGGTCTATTTCCTCATTTGTAAAATGGGGATAATAACAGTCCTGACCCAATAGGGTTGTAAAGAGGATTCAATGAAATGATGTAAATGAAGTGCCTAGAACAGCCCCTGGTGTGGGGTGAGTTTTCAGTAAATGTTAGCACTTGTCAAGGACCCTTCTGTCATGTGAATGACCTCAGACTTAACAAGATTCTTTCCCTTCCATATTGCTCACTGCATCCAAAATGGGGATTTGAATTTATGAAGACCCAGGTGCTTAAAAAAAAATCTGAAGTTCTTCCAGGACTAGTAGTTCACTTAATATCCCCAAGATTTCCAGGGAAGAGGACTTCTGCAGGATGGCTGCAGGGCAGGGCCCTAAGCTTGCTACTGTCTTCTTAGTTGAGTTCTTTTTCCTTCTTCTCATCCTGGACTAATCCATCTGTGTGCCTTGGCCGACAGGTTCTGTGCACCAAGGCAGAGAATGCCAGGATGGTCGTGCACATTGATAATGCCAAGCTGGCTGCGGACGACTTCAGGACCAAGTAAGTTTGGCCAGGGGATGGAGGGAGCCTCTCTCCCCACACACACGTGGGGCAGTTTTCCAGTAGTTTCACAGGGTGTTGGAAAAGTGCTGGCAGTTGAAGGCCTTCCCTGAGATGCTGCATTTGGCTCTATCCCTCAGTTCCTGACCCTGTCCTTGTGTAGGTATGAGACTGAGCTGTCCATGCGGCAGCTGGTGGAGGCCAACATCAACGGCTTGCGCAGGATCCTGGACGAGCTGACCCTGTGCAAGGCGGACCTGGAGGCCCAGGTGGAGTCCCTGAAGGAGGAGCTGCTGTGCCTCAAGAAGAACCATGAAGAGGTGAGCCCTGAAGTCAAGCTGAAGGCTCTGGGAGGCAGAGTGGAGAGAATGTGGGGGCTTTGGGGCTGGATAGACAGATGTTGAAATTCCCGGGCCTGCCATGTATTATTTCTGTGACTTTGCCCAATGTATTTACAACCTTTCTGAGGTTTTTTTCCTCATCTGTAAAACCTAAACACTATTGTATATGGTCGTGGTGAGAATTGAATGAAGGTTATGGTTATGAAACACCTGTCACTTGGTAGGCGCTCAGAAATGCCAGCTCCTTTCTCTTCTGCATTTCCTGGGTAAGCATGATTGTCAAATGATCATGGTGACTGCATTTGTTTTCTCATGAGAGCCTCATACTAGAGGTAGAGTGGTACATATGCTAGGGTCAGAGGTAGTAGGTTGTGTTCTGGAACTCAAATAGAATGACTTGTCCATCTCTGCTGGGCTAGATCCCTGGCGGGGGTGGGGCGGTGGGGCAGGGGACGACCCTCATATCTAAAGGAGAGTTGAACTGTAGTCGTTTTCTTCTTTCTGTCTCCGTCCTCCACCCTCTTCCTCTCTTCTGTATGGTACGTACTTAAGTCGAAAGCCACAGGCAAACCCTTTACTTTCTGATTCTTCTTTGGAGGAAAAGCTCTCTGCCCTGGACACCTGCGTACTGCCAAGCTCATCTGAACCATGGTGTTTTTTTTCCCTCCTTCCCTAAGCTGATTCTTCACCTCTCAACTTGGGATTTGAATGAACAAGTGCCTCTGAATCCTGGCTGAGTTTTCTTAAGCGTAGAGTAACAATCTGTCACCGCATCCTCAATGAGCACCCTAAGGCACCCAGCAGGGCATTACCTGACTCATCCCACATAAGTCAGAGAAGTGGGAACCGCACGAAGAAGGCACTAATGAGACATTATCACACACTCCACAGCCTCAGTGACAACTTTATCTCTTTGGCAGCCAAGCCTGGGGGAGGTGCCCACTCTAACTTGGGCATTGAACTAAGTAAAGCCAAGTTCCTACTGCCCTCCTTCCCCAGATGGTCACAGGCTGGGAGGGTGGGCCGGGAATGCCAGGGCATGGGCTTCCTATTTTAGGTCAAATGGGTCAAATGAGCACCCTGATGCTGCTCTTGGCTTCTGCCAAAGCAACAGGAGGTGCTTCTGTTGGGAGGCACCTTCCAAACTGGGAGACCATCAATACACTGTAGAGACAGTGGTCTGGAGTCCTCGAAGGTTCCCTCTAAGGTTGAGATTCTCTAGCCTTCCCTCTTCCATCTTTTTATGTCTTTCTGGGAGGTGAACTGGGACTGTGTGACTTTCACACTTGCCTGGGGCTCTTGTACCTTTTCAGGAAGTCAGTACCCTTCGATGCCAGCTTGGAGACCACCTTAACATTGAGGTGGATGCTGCACCCCCAGTGGATCTGAGCAGGATGCTGGAAGAGATGCGGCGTCAGTACGAGACCGTGGTGGAGACCAACCGCAGGGGTGTAGAGGAATGGTTCAACACACAGGTGGGCCTCTCGCAGGTAGGCTGGCTTCCCAGCGTCCCTGAAAAGGCACCCTAACTTCTCCTGTCTACCTCCCCATTGCAGATAGAGGAGCTTAACCAGCAGGTGGCCACGAGCTGCGAACAGCTTCAGAGTTACCAGTCGGACATCATTGATCTGAGGAGGACGGTCATCACACTGGAGATTGAGCTACAGGCCCAGCACAGCCTCGTGAGTGCTGCTGGGTGGGCCCCTCTCCCCTAGTTCTGGATCCAGGGTGGCCCTGAGTGTAGGTGCAGGCATCTATGAAGGAGGAAGAGGAGGCCCAGATATCAGCTGCCACAAATGCTCACCAAGATGCCCTTTCCTGGAGGAGCTTTCTCCCAAGATCCAGCTCAGAGATAAAAGGGGCATGTTTCAAATCTGATCTGGGTTAGGGGGACACCCCTGGTACTGACAAACACAACTCCCTAAGAAGGCTTGTTCTCTGCCTAGCCTGCCCTAAACGCGTGGTTCTCGAACTCACTATGGAGCTTTTAAAAATCCTGATGCTTCCATGTTGGTGAGTGGCATCTGGGGTCTTAAAAGCTGGTGAGTGGCCATCTAAGATGTATCAATTGGTCCCAATCCACCTGGAGCAAAGGAGAATGAATGACACCAAAGACACAAGGAAAGTATTAGCCCAGGAAACAGAAAGGGCCACATAAACCAGAGACTTCATCTACTGAGGCCAGAAGAACTAGATGGTACCTGGCTACCACCAATGACTGTCCTGACAGGGAATACAACAGAGAGTCCCTGATGGAGCAGGAGAAAAGTGGGGTGCAGAACTCAAAATCTAGTAGAAAGACCAGACTTAATGGTTTGATTGAGACTGGAGGGACCCTGGAAGATATGGCCCTCGGACTCTCTGTTAGCCCAAAACTGAAACCATTCCCGAGGCCAACTCTTCAGACAATGATTAGACTGGACTTCAGGACATAAAATGATACTTGTGAAAAGTGTGCTTTTTAGCTCATGTAGATACATGAGACTAAATGGGCAGCTCCTGTCCGGAGGCGAGGTGAGAAGGCAGAGAGGGTCAGGAGCTGGTCGAATGGACACAGGAAATCTGGAGTGAAAAGGAGGAGTGTGCTGTCACAGTACAGGGAGAGCAACTAGGGTCACATAACAATGTATGTATAGATTTTTGTATGAGAGACTAACTTGAATTGTAAACTTTCACTCAGAGCACAACAACAACAAAAATCCTGATGCCTAGGTTCCTCTCCAGGCCAAGTGAATTTCTGGAGATGGGCTTGGATATTTTAGAAAAAGCTTCCAGGTGACTCTAAAGTGCAGCCAGGGTTGTGAATCACTGTTCTAAATGATGCTGTGGGGCAGGTGTATTTGGGAACTTCAGGTCCAAAGTTTGAGTTAGACTAAAGTTGTAGAAGGAATAAAGGATTTAGTATTTGATTTGGGGTCAAACTCTGGCTCTGTTAGTTACCAGCTGTTTATCCTTGAACCAGGGCTTCCAACCAATTAATTCATTCCGGTTTGAAAACCTGCTGAGAATTTAACAAGATCCCCAGGTGATTCTTATGACTACATACATGTAGTCATTTTTATGTAGTCATAAGAATCACCTGGGGATCTTGTTAAACGGTAGCTTCTGAATCAGTGTATGTGGAGTAGAAATGCAAATTCTCAGCAGGGGTTTGAATCACAATGAATCAGTTCGAAGCCCCGCCTTGAGCAAGTCACTTGACCTTTCTAGGCTTCAGTTTCTGCAGTCACTTAGGTAAGGAGGGGTCATTCTCAACTTCAAAGAAAGACTTGGCGGTTTTAGGTCTTTTCAGAATTAGCCAATGGAAAATAGCTCTGCTGCTCAGAGTTATGTACAGGCAGTTCCCTAGTTATGAACATCCAACTTACGGAGAACTTGTACTTAAGAATGGACTGCATAAGCCTATTATATTAAAAAATTGAGTTAAATCTAATGGTTTGTCATAATGAATGCACACACTACTTTGTGATGCTCATGAAAACATTGCACAGTTTGGAAGTGTTTAAGTATTTTATGTGCATTAAAAAAAACAAAGAACAAACCAAACCCATTGCCGTCAATTCGATCCTAACTCATAGCGACCCTATAGGACAGGGCAGAACTGCCCCATAGGTTTTCTACGGCCGTAAATCTTTACAGAAGCAGACTGCCACATCTTTCTCCTGTGGAGCAGCTGGTGAGTTCGAATTTATATGCACAGAAAGATAAAATATATACTAAGACAAATATTTGACTAACTGACGCTAAATAAGAATCGTATGTACCTGTTCTGACTTACCTACAAAACTGACTTAAAGGCAGACTTAGGTACGGATCTCATCCGTAACCCAGGGACTGCCTGTATTTCCTTTGCTGTAGAGGGACTCTCTGGAAAATACGCTGACAGAGACGGAGGCCTGCTACAGCTCTCAGCTGTCCCAGATACAGTCCATGATCACCAATGTGGAGGCCCAGCTGGCCGACATCCGCTGTGACCTGGAGCGGCAGAACCAGGAGTACAAGGTGCTGCTGGATGTCAAGGCCCAGCTGCAGTGTGAGATCAGCACGTACCGGGGCCTGCTGGAGAGCGAGGACTGCAAGTACGTGGGCCCAACTGAGGCTGTACAGAGAGATGTGTGTGAGGGTGGGCACATTTTTATGAAGTGCCTGCTGTATGCCTAACACAGTGTTAGGGCACAGGGTGGGCACACAGATACAGCTGCTGCCCTCTTGAACCCAAGGTTTCGAACCAGTTCCTTCTGGTTCGAACCACTGCTGAGGATTTGCATTTCCACCCCAGATATACTCAGTCAGAATCTACACTATAACAAGATCCCCAGGTGATCCTTATGTATAATACATTTTGAGAACCACTGCTCTACTAGTGGTTCTCAGAACTGGTCCCTAACTAGCAGCATTAGCATCACTGGGGAACTTGCTAGAAAGACAAATTCTTAGCAGGGGCTTGACCTGGAAAGAACTGGCTCTGAAGCCCTGCTTGGACCTCACTACTTAGTAGGGGAGAGAGACCACAAGAGAATAATCAGAAATAACTACCATGGAAGGAGGTACATGGTATCATGGGTGCTACCATAGGGATATGACACAGAGAAATCAGGGGAGGTTTCAAGGAGAATGTGACAGTTGAGTTGAGCTCTAAAGGAAGAGAGGAAATTGATTAGGTGAGTGGGGAGGGAGGAACATTCTAGAAATAGAAACAGGGCATAAGCCCTGTGACCCAAGCAGTATGGTCTATAGAGGAACTAGAAGAAGGTCAGCGTGCCCGAAACTCAGAGACAGCAACAGAGCTATGAGATGAAGCTGGGGCCAGAGTTGGGAGCAGGATCATGCAGAACCATGCAGGTTGTATTAAGAAAATTTCTCTTTATCCCAGGTGCAAATGAGAACCATGGAAGATTTTAAGCAGGGGGCGGGGAGGCATGATTAGATGTGTGTTTGTAGAAGATCACTCTGGTCACTAAGCTGACAATGGTTATGAGGGGCAAGAGTGGGGTTAGAGAGACTAGTGAGGAGGCCATTGGGGTAACACAGACAAAGATGATGGAGGCTGGGACTAGGGAAGCTAGGTGGAGAAGGCATGCAGGGGATGAGTTTGAGAGGCACCCAGGAGTAGAATCGGCAGGAGCTATTATGGAGTCTGACTTCTCTACTAATTCTGCCCCAAATGTGGCTTTCTTCTGCAGGTTGCCCTGTAACCCGTGCTCCACTCCTTCCTGTCCACCTTGTGCACACCGCACCGTCTGTGTGCCCCACACTGTCTGTGTACCTTGCATGCCCTGTCCCCAAGGCCACTACTAAAGTCCCTTAGTGCTTCAGAGGAACCGAAGCTGGGCAGCCTGGTGCCTCCTCAGACTGGGCCTGACCACAGTTCTGGGGCCACCAACAGAGCAGGGCCATTCCCCACCAGCAAGGAAGACCATGAGCAGGAACCAGAAAGTGGAGCAGGAACCAGAAAGTGGAGCAGGAACCAGAAAGTGGAGCAGGAACCAGAAAGTGGACATCTGCGAGGTGCTCTGATACTGCCGGTGGTGCACTAGCCCTCATCTCTTAGAACCTTCCTCTCTTCTATTTCCACGGGTGAACCGTTCTCTCTGGTGATGTTCCTGGTTGTCTGTGCTGCCTCAAAGAGCATGTACTCTAAGTTAAGTGGCAAAGAAAGCCTCATTCGGTGGCCCTGCAATATGGCTTTCTCTTGTTTTGTCAGTTAGGCTGCTGTATCCACAAACCAGTTCTACTCAGATAGGATCAAGAGGAATGTGGCCGAATTCTAGATTTATTTTTTATGTCCCTTTTGCTTCCATAGGCTTGAGAGGCTTTCACTAAAAAGGCCCATATGCCATGAAACAGTTAAAACCAGGTAATCGGTCCAGAGGCAAGTAATAAAAGATTAAAAGGAGAAAGGAGATAATTATGCCAGCAACCTAGGCCAAACTACTGTAATTGAGAATAAAACCCACCCTTAAACCTCATTATACCTGGTACAGTGGGATCATTCGTTCATTCAAAAATCTTCACCTACTAGGTGCTAGGTTCTGCATTTGTTGTTATTGTTAGTTGCCATTGAGTTGACTCTGACTCATGGCAACCTTACATATAACAGAACAAAATGTTGCCCAATAAACTGTGCCATCTTCATGATGGTTGGTATGTTTGAATCCACTGCTGTGGCTATTATGTCAATCCGTCTCATTGAGGGTTTCCCTCATTTTCCTGATCCTCTGCCAAACGTGAGGTTCTCTTCTAGCGATTGGCCTTTCCTGATGGTGTGTCCAAAGTAAGTGAGCTGAAGTCTTGCCATCCTCGCTTCTAGGGAGCATTCTGGTTGTATTTTTTCCAAGATTGATTTGTTCGTTCTTTGGCAGTCCATGACATATTCAATATTCTTAGCTAACATCACGATTCGAATCATCAATTCTTCTGTCTTCCTTTTTCATTGTCCAGCTTTTGCATGCATACAAGGCGATCGAAAAGACTATGGCTTGGGTCAGGTACACCTTAGTTATCAAAGTGACATCTTTGCCTTTTAAAACTTTAAGGAGGTCTTTTGCAGCAGATTTGCCTAATGTAGACACCCTGCTAACAAACCTCATTTAATCCTTGCAACAATCTATGTCAAAGGTACCATTATTTTCTCCACTTCACAAATGAGGAATTGGAGGCCCAAAGAGGTTAAAAAACTTACCAAGGTCATGGGACTACCAAGGGTGGAGCTAGGATTCAAATCTAGGCCTTCAGTCTCCAGAGGTGTTTAACCTTAACCAATTCGTATTCGGAGTCCTTACTATTTGCAAACTACATCTGGGTGCAGGGGATACCAGAAAATACAAGCAGTTCCTACCTTCCTCGGATGCTTATAATCAGAGAGGGAGCTAAGACTAGTTCTTTCCTCAGTAAGGGGCATATAATAATAATGACAGTCACTACCTCTTATGAGTGCTTATGATATAGAAGGTACTGCACTGAGCATGTTACATAAATTAACACCCACAATTCTCATGACCACTTGGTATGGTAGGCATCACGTCCATTTAGAGATGTGGCAACTGAGACACAGAGAGTAGTTAAGTCAGTTGCCCAAGGTTACATGCAAGGACACAGATATGAACCCAGGTCTACCTGGGTCTAGCATTATTTTAACTACTCTGCTATCCTGCCAAATTCCTACCTAGCAATAGCACATACTAACAAAGATTGGGAGAAAGTATTAGCTTGGAGGGATCCGAAAAGACTTCACATAGATGGTAGCATTTGAGGTGGGCCTTGAAAGTTGAATAGGATGTCAATGGAGGAAAAGACAAGCTGTGGGGGGACAGAGAAGTTTGTAGGGGAAAGCAGAAGTTACAACTAGGAGGCTGTGAGTGGTCCTCCTGGCTAGAGCAGCAGGCTCTTGTGAGAGACTGGTAGGAAATAAAGCTCAAACGGTAGGAAGCGTCAGACTGTGGGGGGCCTTGGGTACCACACCGAAGAGCCTGACTCCATCAGAAGGTGCTGGGAGGGTTGCCAGAGGATTTGAGCCCAAGAATGACATGACCAGAGTGGTATTTTAGGAAGTTTAACAGAGGAGCATCAACAGGATGGCTGCAAGCCAGGGAGAAAGCTGTTGAATAGTCTGTGGAAGAAGTGAATGGAAGTCTGAACTAAAGTAATGACAATGAGAATGGAAGAATAAAGAGATCAGTCTGAGAGACATGGTGAAGGACCTGACCTGACTTAACAACTGACAGGACATGGAGAAAAAGAGGCGAGAGACAGGAACAGGAATCTTGAACACCTTTCTGAACCTCACCCTCCAAACACAGTTCTTCCTTAATGAGCTGAAGTGATGTTTCTATTAAGTTATCTGTTCTCCGGCCTTGCCAAGGAATGATGAAAAATGGATCAGATCCTGCAGCTGCCTGGAGGCTCTCCGGACACGATCACACATGCCTGCCTGGCAGACAAGGTCATTAGCCTGACAGAGGAGACACAAATACACTCTGCTCAGCAAACGGTGGTTCCTGGGTGGGGGTGGGGGGAGGGAGTGTTAAAATTTCAGTGAGCTGGAATGCCGAGGGAGAGGGGCTTCTGGCTATTGGATTTTCTAATAACTGAGTGCCAACCAACAATGCTTCTTAAATTCAACACCTGTGCAAACTTTTTTCTAGAATGTGCTCAGCCTGATAAACTCAGCAGACTGAACAGAACTGAATCTTTGCTTCTAGACTCATAGACCCGTTCTGTCCAGTATGGTAGCCACTAACTACATGTAGTTATTTAATCTTTAATTAAACAAAACTAAATGAAATCGAAACGTTTAGTTCCTTGGCTGCACTAACCACATTTCAAGTGCTGAATAGCTACATGTGGCTGGTGGTATCATACCAGACAACACAGATATAGAATATTTCCATCACTGCAGAAAAGCTTATTGGTCAGCGTTGTCCTAGCCTGTCAGAACCAGAAGGAGCCTTACAGATGATCTGGCTCAGGGCTCCCCCTACCCCAGTTTGAAGACTAGGAGTCTAACGCCCACAGAGATGGAAAGCGTTGCTCACAGACACACAACCTACAGATGCAGGTTGAAGCCAAGTGTTCTGCCTCCAAGCCCAGCGGATCTCTCTGAGCAATTTATGCTTTATGCACCCACTGTTTATTATTATTTCCAGCTAATAAATATTCCCCCCTATCCTTCTCTTCCATTTCTCTTAGAAACATTTTCTCTGAGATGCTGAAACTCTTTCTTGGGGATATAGTTCCCCTTTAAAAGAAGAACTAGCAACTACCACACTCAGACTCTCCTCATCCTTCAGGCAGCTGGCTCAGTAAGAACCCAGACCTCACGCTGTGACGGAGACCGAACAGAGAGCAATCACACAGGAGCTGCAGGCCAGGAGCCCAGGCCCCTTGGCCCCTTGGGGCCTTCCTCAGTCTCTTCTTTCCCCAGCAATCCAACTCTGCCCGTTTCCATACCTGTGTATCACTCTGGCTTGCCTAGACCTGTTTGACCACCCAAATGCTTCTTAAGGCATTTTATATGAAACCAAGCCCCACCGCTCCAGGCCAGGAGGGCCGCCCCTTTCTGGCAACGAATGGCCACTATCTTCCAAGTCTGGACGGTACTTCTGAGCTAGAGGCATCTGGAGCTATCATCCTGCCTACCCCGTCTCTGTTATCCGATGGACAAAGAAGCCACGGGAGTAGATTTTAGAAGATATTTGTGCCCCACCAGCGCCAGGACCTCCTGGGATCTGGATCTAGTACTCCACACACGAGATTCTCAGAGGAACCCTGTCCTCTATCATAGCATTTGGATTGAATTATCTCCTGCTGATGGGGAGACATAGGCAGGGCCACTGTTATGCAATAAAACCTCTGGTGTGTTTGATGTTTGAGAGAAACTCCTACAGGTAGCAGGGATCCTCCCCGCATGGGAATTGGGAAAGAAAGGACCAGCGTTTCAAAGACACCACTTTCCCAAAGACCATCAAGGAATCTGGGCCTGCCGCTCATGACCATCAAGGAATCTGGGCCTGCCGCTCATGGCCCTAGAGCAAGGCCTTGGCGTATCTTTCTGGGGGCGGTGATGAGGGGCCACCCAGGCAGAACTGGCTTCCAGGGAAGCCTGGCCAGAGGGTGACCGCTTCTAGAGAGAAATGCCCAGGAGTCGGGCTCAGTGGCTGGGAGATGGGGGCAATGTATAGACTCTCAATTGTGCTGAATGAATTTTTCCTCTTTACTATTGGGAAAACTTCTTACAATTTCATCAAAAGAGGATGTGCCACTTCCTGGCCATACCTGGGGAAATCGTTAATAATAGAACAATTCTCTTTCTGTGTTTTGCAAATTTTAACACATGAATGCAATGATCTCACTTTTGCTAAACAGAAAGTTCCTAAGACCATTTGCTGTCTATCTTTTTGAACAACTGGCCAGGATAGGTTTAGCCATAAACAAGTAGACAAACATACAGATGAGCTTCTTAGAGTAATGGGAAAGGTCAGGGGCTTTCACGTCAGGGGGCCTGGGCTAGAATCTCAGTTCTGCTACCAACTTGCTGTATGATTGAGCCAAGCCTCCTAATCTCTGTGTGGCTCAGTTGCCATCCCTGTAGAAATCGGGATAATTCAACCTGCCCTACAGTGTGGTAGGGATGTGATACACATGAAAGGGCCTATCCTGATCCCTGGCAGATTGTAAGTGCTTGATAAATGTTGGTTGGAGAAAATCTGCTTTGGCAACAAGAGACACCCCTTTCTTCTGATTCTCTTCCCCATGACAATGGCAGCTGAGTCACTTCTCTGAGCCACTCTGAAGCCCAA